TGACTAATTGTAGAATTTCAAACTGAAAGAAATTCTTTCTAATCTTTTAACGTTCATGTTTTTTCCTAATATATCTTTTAATCTTAAAAGTGTTTGCATGGTAGTTTTTAGCTTATATTGGGTTATAATTATGTTTTTTCATTGTTTTTGATTTGAGTCATTTAGTTTCTTCCATTTCAGTTCTAATATGTTCATCAGTGTTTTTTAAAGTGAGTAATTTACACCCTTAATGAGGAATACAAATTAACATTAATGTTATTGTCTAAGTGTTCATTGTTAACTTCTACTCTAGCTTTTCTTTGAAAAGAGTTTAGCCACATGCTTCTTTGCTTGTATTTTTCATGATCTGTTTGTACAAAGAGCTACAGAAAATTTCTTAACCTGACCCACTTGCCAAAATCTGACCAAATGACAAAACATACAAATTTATTTTGAAATCTCTTTTTGGTCAGACAAAAACTTTCCAGCATCTCTTCATAATAACAAAATTTATATTTTATTTTTACCACTAATATTAATAATAACTAGTGTACCTGTGCCATCAAGAATGATGACAATTTTTAGGATGTTTTAATAGTGAGATGCAATGAAACAACATTTTGAAAACAATGTATTGAAATTCAATAAAGTGGAGATAAATAATTCACAACTAAAATAGAGGCTAATGAACTGTTTAATTAATTTGCTTTATATTTTATAAATGTTCAATGGTATCTATGATTCATTGATTATTATTATTATTATTATTATATAAATTGCAATTTGCTCAATATCTTTTCATGCTAAAAATTTTAAGTGTTTAATATAACAGTGAAATGGAAATATATCTTGGAAGAAAAAGATTAGTGACAGAACAACAAAGACTATTTCAAAGGTAGCTGAGTGCCTCACTTGAAAGGCTTGAACAAATAAGACTGCAATCTAAGAAACATAGGAATAAAGGAACTGATTAATTAAATGGTTCATTTTGTCTAAATGCAGAAAAATAATTTATTGTATAGATTATTAAAATGACTAAGGAAAGTAATTACTCATAAATTTACTAGCTTAAGTTGATTTAGCACCCTTCCCAGTACAGATAGGACAGGAAATATATAAATAAACACAAATTGATAATTATTATATGGTTTGATAATAGTAATAGTAATTTTATTTAATCTTGCTTTTTCTTTATTCAACTGTTTACTCACTTCTACAAAACTAGTAAAGGATATTATAAATATAAGTCTGAGTAAGCTGAAATTAAAAGAAACCAGAAATCAAAAAAAATTATAGACATTATAGAAAATTACTAATCAAAATGAATAATAGTTTGTGACAATATTTTTGGATGGGGCATGTAATCAGCACTTTTTGGGGGTCATTATCTTGTCAGTAACTAGTCCGATAGTCTCATTTCCACAACACTTTGTGTTGAGAGAGATGCTAACAGTTATCACAAACACAAATATGTTGTGATCAGATAAAGGGATACGGAAGGTCTTGGTTGAAACCATGTTTCACCGAGCCCGTCCATTCACATGAAAAAATCACCATGGGTTTAATGACTTTAAAAATTGAAGAGGCATTTGTTAACAAATGCATAAGGTGGTTTATTGTAATATGTTCAAAAAATCATCAGCAACATAATAAAGAAAATTAAAAATAAATAACATAAATGTCAAACTGAAAATAAACATCTACAAGGATAAGATTGACAAGTGATCAAATCTAAGGCACTGCAGTCATACTCAGCAACAAAGCAAATTCTATATTTCTTTCTAGAGTTGGTTACGGTAATAAACTTGGACTATAGCTAGATTTTAAAGTTTCCAATCTTCTAATAACTAATTCTCTTTATTCAATTTCAGTTACTTCCTTGTAGTTATTAGGTTAAAGGTTGTTTTTTGAAGCTGAGAAAGCATAGTGCTGACAAACAAAAACTAAGTGTGTTGAATTGGTTGAGAAAATAGATAAACAAAAGAGTGACACAAAACGAAATAGAATTTTTTATTCTATCGTGAACATTTTTTTGTAGAGAAAGTTTTGAGAATTCCTTAAAGAAAATGCAAATTCAAGGAATGTTCTTAAGTTGAACTTACTCTGTTGGTGAATTAAAGAGTGAGTGAGGTGTATAGTTGGACATGTGGCCAAGTGGTTAGAACATTCACTTTCTGACCACTGAGACCTCTGATTGAATCTCAACAGGGTCAATATGTCAGGAAGGTGACTTATTGAGGTTATCGGTCTGGTGAGGCAATTCCAACATGCAACACCTTAAGAAAGTGCTTGAAAATTATACCACACAAACTCTCTCTCAGAAACTGTAACTAAAATCCGTTCAGCATAGTTGCAGTACAAACCACAGGTGGGCTCTTTGGGTGCTGTAAAAACACAAATGTGTCTGTGCAGGAATCTATAAAAGGGATTGGCTAGCCACAGTAGACAGGCATAATCATATATGAGCAGCCAGCCATTATTGATATGTATAGACTAAGCCATGTGCAGCTACAGAGCTTTAATTTATCCTGATCTTGGTTCAAAATGAAAGAGAGCTAGCCTCTTGGAATTTACAGCATGCATACTCCCAGGTTTTTTCTTTTTACACATGCCCAAAAGCTGAAAAGTGTTACTGTTGACAAGGTTATCAATGCATGCATGTCTAGTAAAAAGGGTTATCTGCTACACTCTGCACCATGGCCTATAGTCAACAGTGGGGAAGCAAATTATTTAATATCTGAAAAGCTGTCTATATTTCTGAGATAAGGTATTGTAATTATTCACACTATTTACATTGTTCCGACTGTTGTTCTCAGCTTTGTTGCCATATTCACAACATTTCGTCCGTTGTACACTCTGGACTGCTTCAGCTGATTGGAATTTCAAACCTAACCCTTTATTTTATCCACCTGGGTAGATTGTTCTAGTTCCACATGCCATGCCTCTTCTGGATATCTCAGTATCAGTTATTTTCCTTTAACTCAGTTATCCAAGTTACTGTTCCCCTATGCTGTGGCCAGGTATTGAGCTCACAACTTTTTGCGTCTAGACACTGGATTTCTTCATCCAGTGCTTTTATCCACTGGGTCTTGTGTACTTTTGCTATCTCAATGCACCTTTGGATTTCAGCGTTGAACTTTCCGTCCTTTTTTAAAACATATCCGAGATATTTAAATTGCTGTATTAGTTTGATTTTGGTATCTCTAATTTATAATTTGCATGTTGGGCTCTTCCTTTTGGTAACAACCATGCATTCTATCTTGCAATTGATGTTTAGTTCTTTCTTCTCACTTTTCTTCACTACTTTCTGTAGGAGTTCTTGAAGTTTCCTTTCTGTTCATTTGTAATAAAATATAACCCCAAAATTCAGGGTTATTAAACATAAAAAAAAGTTATCTATTTTTTAATGACTCCTTCAAAGAATTATTTTAAATTAGGCAGTTTGTGTAGTAGCCAAGTCCATGCTACACAATGTTCACACACTCTGTTCAAATTCTCTGAATATTTAAGCAGATTCTCATGCTAGTCCTTCCTTAATTTGCAATAAAATTTAGTTGTACAATAGGCATTGCAACCAGAAATAATCATTTTTTTCAAAATTTTATTTTTCATATTATACTAGATTAAGCTTGCCAGATCATGAATATTAATTTTTTTTCTTTTCTCACTGTAATGAGACTGACCACAATTATGACATAAAAAAATGATACTCTAATCAAAGGAGAAAACAATTCCCTATGATGAAAATGTCTAGAGAGTGCCTTGACTGCAAGGTCATCTACAGTAAATTTGTGCACTAGCTCTTACATTTCATCATTCCTGGCAGAACTTGTATTATCACAATGTGGGATATCTGCTAATGAAAGTGATGGAAAGAAAAAGAATCTAAATGAAATCAGCTAGATTATAAAAAAAGAAAATTTTTTTTTAAATCTAAAAATTTAAAATTCCCAGCATCCCTCATTCATGCACATGTGTAATCATACCAACATAACAAATTTAGTCCAATGATGTCCTAAAGGATGAAACACATCACATAAAAACTTTTTCCATTTTGTCATCCATTTTTCCCCAATATTGTTCTTGACCGAACATAAAAATATATATCGTTATCTCATTAAATTGTATAAAAATTAATAGGCGGAGTTCAGTTTGCTATGTAAATTCATTGTAAATTGATCCCCCCCCCATGAAAGCCACCATAAAATATGCTCATTCAATGTGATTTTTTAAAATTTAAACATATAAAAAAAATTTGTAATCTGGTGAGCGTAATTGATAGTAATATGTTGTAACCTAAAAAGGGTTACTGAATGTGAAATAACCAAAATGGAGGTTGGAAATGAAATGGTAATTTTTATAGCATCAACAAAATACAATACTCACCAGCAGCATGAAGTAGGTAAACCACTGCTAGTGATGGTCTAATTAAACAGCAGATTACCCCCACTTGCAATAGTGTCCAATGTAGTTATGAGGATTGGGACATATCCATTAGTGTTCATAGGTACAGTATATAACATAATATTAAAAAAAGAACTCCAGATTATGAATTTAAAATTGTTTTTTTTTACATTTAAGAAATCATGTGGTATGTGTCTATTCTATTTTGGCTTTCATATAGGGAATGAATTTATGCAGTAAACTGGACCACACCCCATTAACTTTTATAAAATTTAATAATCATTCAATAAATAAAGAAAAATTAAAGTGACTTATCTCATATACCAACACAAGAATTTTGCACCAAAATGCTCATCAGGGCAATATGTTCAATAAATCTTTTGCTCACCTGAAAAATACCTTAATTCTCATACTTTTCACATTTTTTTTAGTTGTATTGTCATTATTAAAATTTAATAAAAAGATATTTTTGCTGGTTGTGATCTGAAGTAATTTGTAATCTATAGTAATATGAAAAACTTAGGAAAGAAAATGACCATTTTTGGTCAGAGGGCCTAATATAAAATTCAGTCCTTATTGACACAAATAAAATTTAAAAATAACTTCTTTTTTTTTAGATTTTCGGCCCCATTCTTCCCTTAGTACCAGTTAATGGTCCAGAAGAAGCTGTAGAGATTATTAACAACCGGTAAGAAAAGCCTTTTGCATTTATTTATGTCTTTTACATGATATCTGTGCTGTTATATAAACAAATTTCTGTCCAATATTTTTCTGAAAAGTCACTACAGTGACATCTCAGATCTTTCAGCTCAAAGTGAGTATGATAAAAATGATATACAAAATAATCAAGTATAAATACTGACACTTCTTCATTACTTATCATTGTGTGTAATGTTATATTAGTAATGTTTGATAAGAATACAAGACTAAATTTTTCTTACATAAAATTTTTTATTCTCTTTTGAATCTCATCAAATCGAGAGTATGTGGTTTCTGGTCTTTCTTCAAATGTTTGATCCTCTTTTTATGAGGAAGTAAGGGATTCTGCTTCTCTTCTCATGGGTTGGGCATTTATATAACTACCTGTTATCCAGTTGGCTTGTATATTTTTAATTCAACTGGGTTCACTTCCTTGTTTATATTGTTGCATCCATTGAAATCCTTTGAGACTCAATTCTGCACTTAGTGAATTTGAAGTCAACCTTTGGAGCTCTTACATCTTTTGATGTTTCTAAGGTCACACTGAGTACAAAACTTACTTTGGTATCTCTTAGGGTGAATCCAGTACATACTGGGGTCACCACAGATCAACTCTTCTTAGATCAACTCTCTTGATTCAATTCAATTTGATTAAGACCTCTTGTATTTACTGGCAGAAATCACATGATACATTGAAAAATAAATACAAAACTATCAATAAGAAATATAAAATGACCCTCATATTTGTTCAGCTCTTTAATATCAGGCTTACAGACATACAGTATTGAAACACTAGTTCTTGTTATGATCACCAAAGTTAAGCAACGTTAAGCCTGGTCAGTAACCTAGATGGATGAATGCTTGTGAATTTCGGGCACTGTAAGCTTAGATGTATGAGTGGTGTAATTGATAATGGCTCAAAATTGTTAATTGGGGAGCCAAGTTCCAATTTCAGTTGGATTCGTTATATTCACTTATATGCAAATACCCTTGGGAAAAGTATGGATCCACATCTTCTCCCCAGCTATGGGTTAATTAATAAGACTTGTATCACTAAAAAAAAAATACTTACAATCTAAAAATATATTCTGGCTTTAAATAACCTGCAAAGGGTTGATAAGTCATAGAAAATGAATCAGTCAATCTTTAATCTCAACAATCAAATTATCATGTCAGCCATTAGATCAGCCATAATCACTGATCCACCTCCCCACAACTGGATACCACTTCATACACCTCCATTTCAATTTTTGGTAGCTTGATTGGTGTTTCTGAAATTTTATGATTTAGTGACATTATCACCTACCAATGGTCTTCAAGTATTGATCAACTGCCCTCTATTTAATTCTTTTTACACTCTCATTCCTATGTGGTGCTTTTTTTAAATACATATGCTTATATTTAGTTTTAATTCTCATGGTCCTTCAGAATACCATATAAAAACTATTATTAAAAAAATTTGTATCTAAAGCTAAGACCAATCCAATTATCTTCCAAGACAAATTACTCTCCATCCAAAACAATTATCCTGACCATCTTCCAATATACACTGATGGATCAAAAATAGAAACAAAGTGGGATGTGCTGCAATTCTCACTAAAAACTAGTAAAGCAACTCCCAGATAAAGCCTACATATACTGTGCTGAAATATCAGCTATTGACTTAAACCTAGATATCATGACAACAAATAACTCCAAAAAATTTATCATCTTTTTGGATGCCATGTCAGTACTTTTATTGTTAAAAAATAAGAAAATGACAAACCCACTAACAATCAAACTATTAAACCAAATTAATGACATCTCAGAAAAAATAGTCTGCTGGATACCAAGTCATATTAGTATCCATGGAAATGCATGAGCCAATACAGTAGCATAGAAATCACTGGAACAAAGACAATCAAACTACAAAATACCATACACAGACTACAAACAGACCATCAACAAATATATGGAAAAAAGGTGGCAAGAGTTTTAGGATTCTTGCCTAAATAATAAATTATATAAAATAAAACCAACCATAGGAAAGTGGCAGAGCTACACACTGTCCAGAAAAGAGGAGGTGATACTGACCAGGCTCTGTATAGAACACACATCTACCATGTACTCATACCTACTGAAGAGGGAGGAAGCACCAATATGCATGAAATGCATGGAAAAGTACACAGTAAGCCATATACTGACAACATGTAAGAATCTGAAACTAACCTGAATTAAATATTACCAAACAATTAAACTGAAAGAGCTCCTTGCCAAGTTCAATCTGGATAACATTTTTAAATTCTTAAAACAAACACACTTATTTATCAAAATATGAAAACAAATTCTTTAAAACTTTTAGCATAAGTACAGTTTATAAATATAATAACTAACTACAACTTTTGACACAACTATAATGAAAAACTTAACTAAAATTTCACTACGGAATAATAACATTCAAATATAAAATCCCAACCCTGCTTGCTTTGGCATTAAATGACTCACAAGGAGTTGATATACCATTAAACAAACTTGATGAAATGTACCCCTTTTTTATGTCTGGTTTTCTTTTTCTCTATTCTCAGTGAGAAGCCCCTGACTTTATATATATTCAGTCACAACAAAAGACTAGTCCAACATTTCCTGTCAGAAACCTCAAGTGGAGGTGTATGCATTAATGATACCATGACACATGTGGCTCGTAAGTTATACTGATTTAACATTTTCCAAAAGACAATTCCTTTTTTTCTCTACCTTTGGTGCTTCTAAATTGGTTTCCTCACTTAGTGGGGTCATTTATAAACTGTGCTTCAAAAAAATCTATTTATTCTGAAGTTCTTATAATTAACAGGCTGTTTATGTTATGTTATGTATCAGAAGCATGATCTATTAAAAAAATATCAAAATTGTCATTATTTACATTATTCAGACTGTTATCTTCATCTTTATAAAAGATGAGGATAACAGTCTAAATAATGTAAATAATCATCTCAGAGATATAGACAGATATCAAAATTGTCATTCACTCTAGTCTTTTATGAATTTGCATAAGGCTAGATTTTGTCTTCATGTCCCCACCTTACATCAGTAGAATAAAACAACCTGTATTGTTATGTAATGAAATTACTATCAGCTTTTTATATATATTACTAACAAATTTCATTTACCACATGAACAATAGCATTTAATTTGTATAACAATTTTTAAAAGCATGTTTTAATAAATACTTTTTCCATGTTATTTATTTTTAATTCAAATTTCAAATTCAAAAGTTGAAATACATAAATTTCACTTGATAATGATTTTTTATTCATTGTGCATGTATAGAAAGAATTTATATCTGCCTTGTCAAAAATTTGTTGTTAAAAAGCCTGTGGTCAAACAATATGAACCCATATCCTCCTGATGACAGTTTAAAGTGACACCATTTATTTTCATATATTATGACCATTTTGCTTAAATTTTATATTTTATTGATTTTCAACAAAATATTTTTCAACAGATTTTGGTGAAATTTGTCCTTTCTAAAGTTATTGTTTATAATTATAGTTTAGATATATAAAAACAGGTGTCAGTTTAAACTGACACCAGAAGGATATGAGGTAATGAGAAAGAGAGTGAGAAATAAATTTACAGAGAATTAAAATTGTGGTTATTGTTAAAATGATGAGAAAATATAATTAATACAAAAAAAGCAGCTTCCACATAATCCTAAAACAGGTTCTTGGCACTCCTGCAAAAAAATATTAAAAATTCCAAACCATGAAACATAAATGAAGCTAATCCATTCGATGTGAGGATGTGCAAGTAGCTGTAGGGATGCAAGGGGCAATTATCTCCTTTTAGGATAGATGAATTCATGAGAGTCATGTCAATGACAGTCAGTCAGTGATTAACACCTGTTGCTATTTAGCCTATTCCAGTTGCTATGTAGACAACACAAGAGCAAGTCATGAGTGTCCATAGCAGTTAAGAGAGCAGAGGAAAAGACATAGTCTCACCAGGTACATAAAGGACACCACAAACCTGCCTGTTTTCCTTCAAAAAATATTACAACTAATACCCTCTTGCTTTTCACCTCTTTCACACTGCTTGTTGTATACATATGTTATAGTTTCTCTGTGTAGAAACAAATTAGTGACAAGTATATAGATATCAGTATAAAAATCTCTTTGCGAACCATGCATGTCTGTCATTCTTTTCTTTCATCTATTCTGTTCCATCCATGTTTTAAGGTGTTATATATGAATATACTAATGCCTGTAATGGGGAAATTTCAAACTGGAAATATTCTCTCTTATCTAGCACTCCCAATTATAGCATAAACATTTTCAGTACAGAAAGTGGAATTGGTTGTTCAAATTCCAACTGAAACTGTTGTATTTGTTTTCACACAAACACACTCACTTCTCTTCTTCCCCAGTGAAGGAGTTAATAGGAAGGTAGACTGAGCTGTCTAGCTTTAGGTGGCAACCAATCTAGGAAAAGGAAAACTTTGAATTCAAAACCAATGTATCATGGGACTAGCAACTCTGTCCTATAAAAATCCATTTGATACAGAAACCACAGAAGCAAAAAAAACTGTTGTTTCCTTAAAGAGGTTACAAACAGACAAAGGTGGTACTCGAGTGAAAGGAACAGCAACATGAGCATAGATGAAAGAAAGAGAGGTTTATTGTAAAAGAGAATACACTACTGACAATAGGGAATCAGTTAGCAAGCTAGTAATTCCTGAAACAAGTCTGCCAGGTATATCCTGTGCTTACTATATATATCTACTGATATAGTCAGTCCACATGTGATAGGGAGTGTGGGACATTCCATTACAAAAACTATCTAAGATAGTAAGGTTGTGGCCTTGCTTGTACTCTATAGAGGGGATCTACAAGGTTAACATGCATTTCAAATATATTTAACTTGACTACTCTTAATATTCAGGAAAAAACAACTCTATTCAACTGTAATAATATATCAAATTTAGATAAGCTGAAGTCAGATTCAATAATTCTCATTCATCCATTGAAAATAATCAACATCACTAGATTTATACTTACATGTGCTCACTAAGAAAAGTGTATGAAATTTTTAAAAAGAATAAGAAGTTTGCTTATTGTGCTAGAATATCCAGTCATAAATTTATAAAAAAAATATACATTTTTTTTCTCATCTTTACTTTTAATTTATTTTTGCTAGTTGAGAGTCTTCCTTTTGGTGGAGTTGGAGAAAGCGGAATGGGCCATTACCATGGCAAGTTCTCCTTTGACACATTCAGCCATCATCGATCAGTGATGTGGAAGTCATTGGCTTTAGAATCTGTCAACTCGTAAGGATGTTTTTTGCTTTTGTCTTTTGTTTTAATCTTCAACTCAAAATTCCTTTTGTAAAAAATCTTTTGACAACAATCATTGTTATTTATTGGTTGATTTATCTAACAAAGTAGCTTCATGAATATACACACACACATATATATATATAATATGATGGTTGTCCTTTAGGTTTGAAAAAGACTTTGACCTGCAATTCAGCTGTCAGTGAATCTGGCTGAATATACAAAACAGACTTGTGCAAGAAGAATTTTGAGGTAATTGCACTCTCTATGCCTGAAAACTCTTTATCTGGTGGCAAAAGGAACCATCACAACCAAAGAATTCTAGGCTTGAATTGATGACCAGCACTTCTATGTGTTATGCTCTAATGCACTCCACACTATTTCCCGACAATGCCATCATGGCCTTTGGATCCACAGCTGATCTCATCTGCCCACTCTACTGGGAATCAGTATTCACATTGAATAGGGCTGATAGACCCAGAATTACTGGGGGTTTAGATTCATTGAATATCTACACCTGATTTGCCCACCAATTGAAATGGTTTAATATATATATATATATATATATATATATATATATATACAGAGTGGCAATAAAGTGACTATACAATTATGTGCAATAACAATTAAGACAAAAGCAATTAATCAACAGTCAAGAAGTTTATTATTAAAATGGTTCTGGTTAATAGCAATAAAATGCTATAGTAAACAATAGTAAATTAATTACTATAAGAACTGTAAGAACTTTAACAGTAAGAAAGCAGCACCATTCATTCAAAGTTTATCTGGATTTGAAAATGATTTGCTGGTAATAATAAATATCATAACTTTCCAAGAAAAGAAATGCTGTTTCCCAAAAATGTCTGGACAAAATAGTGAAAGATAATAAGGCAACTAATAAAATTTTCATGAAATCAGATAAAACAGGAAATTTTTATAAATTAACAGCAGTGGACTTACAACAACCAAATTAATAAGGATTTAAATAAGAACTATAAAAAGGCTAGTAATAATTATGTGAATATGGTGGAAAACATTAATATTAGTAGTAAAAAATCACAGATAAATTGAATATTAATGATAGGGTAGGTAAACTTACCAAAAAAAAATGTTACATAACTATAACGGATCACAAACCTGATTTCGAAGCTAATCCAACTACAAGAATTATCAACCCAACCATACCTGAAATCGGCAGAATTAGTAAGAAAATCCTGGAAAGGGTCAACCAACAAATAAAGGATTACCTAGGATTAAAACTTTGGATCAATACCAAAGAAGTTACTAATTGGTTTACTAATATCAAGGAGAAACCAAATTGTACACTAATACAGTTTGATAATTATTACCAATCAATTTCAAAGGAACTTTTCACAAATGCTATAGATTTAGCTACCCAATACTCTGACATAACAGAAGTAGAGAAAAACATTATTATGACAGCAAGATAATTGGTACTCATACATAAGGGCGAGCAATGGATTAAAAACTCTAATGACCACTTTGACATCACAATGGGATCATTGGACTCTGTGTGGTCTTTGGACATTATTGGTTGTTTTATATTATATAATCTTACAATATATTGTGAAATTAGTGTTAATGACATTGGATTTGACAGAGATGATGGTCTTATTGTTATAAAGAATTCTAGAAACTTTAAAATTGATAAAATTAGAAAACTATTATACAGAGAATTTAAATGCCTGAACTTGAAAATTACTAAATACTAAATTACTAAGTACTAAATTGATAAAAGTGAACTTCCTTCATATAACATTAGATTTAATGAATAATATATACCTAGCTTACAAAAAGCCCAATACTAATCCTTTGTATATACACCCTAAATCTAATCATCCTCTATCTCTAATTAAGCACATACCTTTATCTATTGAAAAGAGAATAAGTACAAACTCAGCAAATGCGAAAATATTCTATGAACAAAGTAATTTCTATAATAAAGCTCTAAAGAATAACGGCTATAAATGCCCAAAACTCAATTCTATAAAAAATGAAAATGGACACCATAGAAAAAACAGAAATAGAAAAATCATTTGGTATACACCCCCATACAACCAAATTGTAAAAAACAAATTAGGACAAAAATTCCTTGCATTAATCAATAAACATTTTCCTAAAAGTAGTAAACTCAGTATAATTTTTAATAAAAATACCCTTAAATTAAGTTACATTTGTACTGAAAACTTACAAATGATTATTAAGAAACATAACGCTAATATCTTGAGTAAACACTTAGACCAAAATCAGAAAAATATAGTTCCTAAAATAAAAAGAAATTAAGATAAAGAAAAATTATGTAACTGTAGAAATCCTTAAAACTATCCTCTCAATAATAAATGTTGTAAAGAATCATTAGTATATCAATGCAATATTTTATCCATTGAAGATCCAGACATAGTTAAAATCTACATTGGATGCACAAAGCATGAATTCAAAAGACGTTCGAACCAATATCAAATGTCCTTTAAAAATAATAAATACAGAAATCAAACATCCCTATCTAAATATTTCTGGCACTTAAAAGAAACCAATAAAACACCAACAGTAAAATGGAAATTAATAAGAAGAGCTAGCACTTGTAGGTCATTAAATGACCCATGTCCTTTGTGTATACATGAAAAATTATACATTATTAAGTTTCTGAAAAATAAAAATTTACTTAATCAAAGAAATGAAATAGATATTTTTTGCAGACACTGTCAAATATTTTCATTAAATAATGATTAATTTTGAAAAAGAGATGAAAGCTGAAACATAAATATTTATACTTGATCTTTGATTAATAATTTTTTTAAATACAAATGTAATTCTAATATATTTATAAGTAAAAAATAATGTATAGTCTATTAGTTATTAGAAGTAGGAACAGTACTTTAAATTTGTAGGAATAGATTTTAAATATTAAAAATACAATTTACTCATATTCAGATGACACTTTTAAGAAACATTTGTGTATAAAATTATAAATTAAGCAGCCAAAGAAAAATGCCAAAAACTTTTTATTATTGAAAAATCCAGACAACACATGAAAAACGGATCTCATTTTTTTGTGAACTGGCACCCCTATCCCACCTTAACTTAACCTGATTTTGAAAGTAACTTATATTTGATACATAAGTTGTCTAGGGAAACTAAAACCCAACCACTCCTTATCAAAATGACTGAATTTTCCATAACCTTAACAATTAAAAATATTAAGATTGTCTGTGCTCATAATTTAAGTAAATTTTTTAATAGGTTATTCAAAAAATCACTTGAGAATGGAACAAAGCTATGAATTTTAAATTTAATTTTATAATTAAATTTAAAATTTTAGTTCTGTTTTGAAATATGGTAATTCCTGTGTAGCGATGGAGCCATATTTTTAAAATAGAAAATAATTATAATATTATGCTCTACTGTTTTTTATCAAGCACTGTTTTTTAAAAATAAAATAATTACTAAGAACACCAGATTGTAACCTTACTGTTCTTAATTATTATTTAATATATATATATATATATATATATATATATATATATATATATATATATATATACATATATATATATATATATATATATATATATATATATATATATATATATATAATATATATATATATATATATATAGCATATTTTATATATTTATATATATATGCATTCTTTTGTTTATAGATAAAAAATATTTAAGTAAATGCTCTGTTTATAATAAACAGTATTAACCACAATTGTGTCCACTTTGTCCTTTTCAAACTGGTTACAATCTTGATGAACTGCCGTTCTCCACATAGGTCGACATTCAGCCTCCAGTTCCCACTTATCCACTGATATCCCAAGTGCTTTAAGATGTGTTTTGATGTAATCTTTAAAGATTACATAGATTATTCTAAAAAAAATTTCACTTGAAGATGGAACAGAGCTTGGTACTTTAATTCAATTTAATTCAAATAATTATATTGAAGTTTTCGGCTCTTGTTTTGAAACATGAGAACTCTTATGTAGCGATGGAATCATATTTTTAAATAAATAACTATATTTAGGCTCTACTTCTGTATCGAGCACTGTTTTTTAAAAATAATAACAAAAATACTAAAGAACTTTGGATTATTTACCTAACGAGTTCTTTCCTATTTTCTATATATTTTCACACACACACACACATATATATATAATAAAAAAGGCTCAAATTATATTCTTACTCTGATCTGGATTATTTTTATCCTCTTGGGATTTTATATATATAAATATATATATATATATATTTATATATTTTATATAAATGTTTATATATATATATCATTTTAGTAGTAATTCATTGAGTCTAGAAGAATCCTCAACAGAATGCAGAAAGCACTGGACAGCCATTTTGTCATGTTTTTGGGACTCATCAGCAGTGCCCATCCACTACCAAGATTCGAATCCAGACCTTTTCAATACAATGCAAGGATCATACCAATTTTACCAATGGGCCTCTGTGATGAAAAAGAAGCTAAATAGACTCGATATAGTACCACTACTCACAAATTCTGTGGTGATACTCATCCAAGTATTCATAACCCAATGGATTGTGCCCCAAGATCCATATCTTTCCTTTCCCCCAAACCACTCCATTGCAGAGCATTAGCTCAGTCAAGCAAGGATATCCAAGTAATAGTATTTTAGAGATTTAGGCAAATCATTATAGTCATCAAGTCTAGAAGAATCCTCAACAGAATGCAGAAATCTCTGGATGGCCATTTCATCCTATTTTTGGGACTCATCAGCAGTGTACATCCACTACTGAATAGACTCGGTCAGTGCTATATCGAGTCTATTCAGTTTCTTCTTCATCACTGAGGCTCATTGATACAGTTGCTATGATCCTTGTTTTGTATTGGAACAGTCCAGGTTCGAATCTCTGTAGTGGATTTTTTAATTTATTTAAATTATTTCTTTGAATTTATTTCTATTCTCAATTTTTTTTCTCCTTGTTTATAAAAGGTTTTTT